CCCTGTTACTGGATTACTTCCCAGCCAAATTAGCAAGTACGACTTCCCTCTTGATGGCAGCACGAATTCAAATTGATCTGTGCTCCCAGCCACTCTCTCCTGGTACAACTACTGTGGCTGACCACCTTAACTAAGATGGTTATTCATTCTAGCAAGGAAGTTCTTTTGCCAGTATAGTTTAAATATTTGCTGGTACAGTTTCAATTGTGAATAAGCTACAAGAAGAAAGGATTTTCTTACAAGTGCAGTGTTAAGAGACTTCTGTCTGCATAAGTGGCTTTGCTGTAGATATGATATGCGAGTACCCTTCAGCCAAACTGACACTGGTCCACGACTGTAGTCTCACACTTGTGGGCAGGAGTACCTCCTCACACCAGCATAAACACCTTATCAATCCTTCTCTCATCCCTTCCCAGCTCTCTCCACACAAGCACCACACAGCTACATGGAAAACTAGCTCAGTTAACGGATCTGGATTAGGGCTAACAGCATAAAGGGCACAACCTATACTTCAGTCTCTAACAATGACTCTTTAGCCATCCCTTAAAGTTAAAATGTTAAACCCAAAATCTTAAATCGTTCTACTTGGAGATCATAGCCTGTATTTAATTTTATCTTCAGCTTCAGTTCTTCAATTTGCACCATTGACTGATTGTTTAACAGAACCTGGAGCCTTTAGGAGGCCACATTTCCTCCTATTTTCCTTCAACGCTTCATCAACAGACTTGAAATATTCTGTTTACTCTAATAGAGTTTCAGAAGAGGTTCAAGAACTATCAGTAGTCTGTGGTATACAAAACCCCACTCCCCAAAACTGCAGTTCTGCTTCATACCTTGAAACAAACACTTAAAGTCCATTTTAAAACATTACGTTTGCACCGCTCAGTTGATGACTTACAAGTTATTCCTGTTGCTTTCAAATTTAGGCTAAAAGGTGACAAAAGCAAGATAAAAAGGAAGCATACCCAAAGCATGATTCTCTTCCACTTTCAGCAACAAGTCTTAAGTAAATATACAATGAAACATAGCTGGCATTAAGCAGATCTTAAGAATGTAGGATATTTTTTTTAATAAGTGAACGTAGTTAATCTACACTTTATTTATTTTCCAGTATAACAAGAGTAGAAAATACTTACCCCTTGGAATCCTTGAAACTGAATTGAAGGTTTAGAAGAGACATTGTCCTACAAAAGAAAGAAAATAAGCAGAATGTAAGCAAAATGACAAACCTCCACTCTCCAGCAGAAGTTATTTTGCTTCAGAAAGAGAAGGCGATGCGCCCACAGCAAACTGGAGGGCTTGTCGCGCCCATGCCGTGGTGTAGACCCCATGGGGCAGCAGTGGCCAAGGCTTCAGTAGCCGGTCTGGGCTCCTCGCAGCACACGGGGTTTCCTCTGCTCCACGCAGAGACGCCCGAGAGCTGGTGTTTTATCGCAGTCAGCAAGGACACTGGGGCACCACGGGAAGCCCGAGGAAATGCCAAAAATGGTGCAATGGTATCTGCTGGCACCGAAAGGAGAAACATCCCCTCCTCTGCCCGAAGTACCACTGAAACATGGGAATCCTGAACAGCGTGCCTTCCCCCTCCCAAACCCTGCCCTGCTGTCCCGGTTCCTCAGGGACTGGGACTGGCTTCATTTCTGAAGAGACTGTTCAATGACACCACTTCTACAAGTACTTGAGTTCTGGGTATCAGCTCGCGTTACACGATTAACACAGGCAACCTGCCTACTCGACAGGTCTCCATACGGATGGCTTCCCGCATTAGGACAAGGCTCAGGCCTCCATCGCTTCCCACTGTCACGGACAACCTGCTCTTCACCCGGACCCCATGCACGCACCGGTGCTGCTGGGAGCACTTGCAACGCTGCAAACCAAACCTCCCACCACGGCACCTTTCATGCCGCTTCCAGCGGTGCGGGTAGCCGGCTGTCCTCAGGAAGGCAGGGAATAGCATCCCTCGTCTGCTCTTACATCCTTAACCTCAGCTGACAGCCTCAGCTAGCACGTGTCAAAGACAGAAAGAGATTCAGTACAATCAAACTGACTCCAAAAAACTTCCAAGCTCCCCCAAACAATCCTCGCTTCTTCAGCTATGTATCTGCCAAGGGAAATACACAATACGGCCAAAACTAACAAAAAGCCACCTGTGCCTTGTCTCTATCATTTCATGGCACTAAGTGCAGCCTGTTCCTGACCTGCAAGGATGGAAGTGTCCTGCACTGCTTCCGTGCTGACACTGCAATCCATCAAGACTTGCAAATGTTAAGGGAGGAAAAAAAAAGGTTAAAAAAAAAATCTAGGAGCCTGCTAGTTGGAAACTACTTTTCTCATCACAAGTTGGCTTCAGGTCAGATCTGCTCCTCAACACAGCCCAAACAGCAACACCACCAGTGCCAGCAGGAGCCCACTGATAAGAATATCCCATTTTAGCAGCAATGCTGACTTCGCTCAGCTTTACTGAATCCTGAAATTATGCTGCTGGACACAAAAACATAGGGCAGCTATGCTGACTAGCTCATTTGCTAGGCTTTGTCCACTGGGTGTTACAGGGAGTTTGCCAACCCGCTGCAAACACTTACACTAAACAAGTTGCAGCAAAGAATGAAATCCTAATGAATACAGATTTTATTCCGCAAAAGCAAGTGCTTATGGACTTAAAATTCAGGTGCCATTCAGGAGCATTCACTGGACTCAGCATCACTGGAAAGGTGAGTTAGATCCAACCCCTGTCCTCTCCTCCCTCCAGCCACAGGTTGTTCCTCCTCCTTCACTTGCACTTGTCTCGCCCGTTTGCAATAAAATCCATCTCACTCATCCAGCAGAAAACTCCCCATGCTGGGCTTGGCGACGAGCTGATGCTGCTCAGCTGGGTGCCAGCAAGTGCTGGAGCTGGCAGAGGGCAGGCAGCAGGACTGCACAGCTCAGCTGAGCCTCTCCGGTGCTGAGCATCGCCTGTGAGCATCACCCGACGCTGCGAAATCCCGGAGAGGGACTCAGGCAGAAATAATACCACTGGAGAGCCGAGCTTCCCACACAAACTGGCAGCAGCGTCTTTAAAAATTACTATGCTTGTTTTTCCACAATCGAAGTTTTATACACTATCTCAAGTTACACAGCAGCCAACAACATGTACAACCTGAAGCCCCGAAATGACTTGCTGCAAATCTGTCTGCTCCACAAACCTGCCTACTCGAAGCCAGAGTTTTAGAAGCGAGTCGAGATTAAACACACCTATCTGCTCACCCAGCACATACAAGTAAACCCATTTTAAAAATGCAGCGCGTTACATATGCAAAGTCCAGTGCACACTTACGAATCCTAACCCTTGGCTGAGGTTTTCCAGAATGAAGTTTAGTGCTCTACACAGAAATTAACGTATGAAGGCACTTCACAAAACACCAAGCCAGACAGGCAATGCCATGATTGCACAGGACCATGCAGCAGCTATCATCTTACAGTGGCTCAGAGTTTGACATGAACTGGTGTTTGATCTGGAGAAACCGTGATGGCTTCACCAGCCACCTTCTCTACTGCAGCACATGACGTTAAAAACTCAAATTTAGCAGGGCATCAAGCAGAAAGGTCTCACCTACACTCCGGCAGGTGGTCTGGAGTGGCATGACCGAGGCAAGGGACTTTGGCCCTCCAGCGAAACCTTCTGTCACAGCCCCCCATGTCCAACCAGCCAACTGCTTTGAACAGCCACTACATGGACCTCAGGCTTAAGGAACAGACGTGGGAACAGCTTCTCCAAACCCCTCTTCCCTCTGCTCCCGCAGGAGCACCCATTTTTCCTGCATTTCTTTTCTTGCAGCAAAGAGCATGAAGTTTGAGAGAAGCGCCTCTCTGTGGGAGACCAGGAGTCCCACCACTTTCCCCTCGTACTTCGCCACCACTCGCCCTTGTTGGGCGTGTTAGAGCATGCATCCATCATTAGCCCAGTTCTGCATCCATTCACACACTTGCTGTCCATGCAGTAGTCTAGTCCCTGTCTAAACCCACTGATATTGCCTGCCTCCAGCCTCCTATGACAGCAAGGTGCAGCAGTCCATCACCCACAGCTGAACAGACCCACTTGCTTCACTTCACCTGCTGCTTCCATCAGGCACTGCCTCACTCCAGTACCGCAGGATAGGAGCAGTATCAGCTCTACTGTCACATCACCAACGATGCCCCGAGCCCTCGCCTCCAGCGTCTCTCCTCGCACGGCAGCTGCTACAGATGGAGGGAGCGAGCCAAGCACAGCTCTCCTCCCTTGCAGCCCTCACAAAGCGGGACTGCACGGGGCAGCTCGAGGTGTCTGTGCCCAAGGGACCCTCTGCATCACCCCGAACGCCCTCCCAGACGGTGCCCAGCTCTTTGATACCTTTTTTGGCTGCTGATGCGCACTGAACGAATGCTTTCCAAGTACTGTGAAATTGTGACTCCGAGATGTCTCATTTTGTAGTTGCAACTGCCTATTCCAAGTTTCATGTCACACAGAGCTTAT